TTTCTTTGATAAAATAATTTGTAAGAAAAAAGAAAACAAAACTTTGAACACACCTATCCAACACCCAAGAACTGGAGGCCGAAACCTACAAAATAGAAAAAAAAATTTAAAAAAATAATTTTTTTAAAGAGTTTCGAAGTTTTTGAAACTCACCTAGTATATATCCAACGCCCAAGAATCGGAAGCTGAAACCTACAAAGAAGGATAAAAAAAAATTAAAAAAAGTTTTTTTTTGAGTTTTGATTCTTTCACTTCAAAACTCACCCATATATCCAAAGCCCAAGCCGAAACCTACAAAGAAGAAAAAAAAAATTAAAAAAATATTTTTTAGAGTTTCGAAGTTTTCAAAACTCATCTAGTATATATCCAAAGCCTAAGAACCGAAAGCTGAACCTACAAAATAAAAAAAAATAATATAAATAAAAAAAAATTTTTCACCCAATAGAAGAAAGAATAAGGGCGAAAGAAAGGAAAAGAATAAAAAAAAATGTTAGAAATTAAAATTAACGTTTTTTTATATCAAAGTTTCTATTCGTTCACTTAGTATGGGATTCAGTATCCAAGTAGGAGCCGATTTTTCTACAATAATATAAAAAAAATGTTAAAAAACGTTTTTTTTAAAGAAGTTTCGAAAACAAAACTTACCTGGAATATCGGCATCCTCGTTGGAGCCGAATTCCTACAAAAAAATGAAAAAAAACGTTAAAAATAACGTTTTTTATATTAGAGTTTCAAAAATTTTCAAAACTTATTTTTGGGATTCGGTGTCTATGCCAGAACCGATTTTCCTATAATTAAAATATAAAAAAAACGTTTTTATTATAAAAACTACTATACTTCCCAGCGAAATTAATTTAATTACGTCATTATACCTGACGTAATAAGCCGTAATAATTACGGTTTTAAATTTTAAAATGCTGATATGCCGTAATTAAATTAACCTGTCAAATTAATTACGGCAGTAAAATTTAAATTATATTAAAATAGGAAATAGATCAACTAATAAACATATGATTTAACATGAGTATATTAAATGAACGTAGTATATAATCATATGTTATATTTCTTAAATTTTTTTTAAAATATTTTTTTGTCTTAAAAAATGCCAAATTCAAAACATTTTCTAACGCGTGTACCAAGCAATTAAACATTCTGATATAAAATAATCCATTTTTTTATATATATTTTATACACTAATTATAATGTCTACTCAAGAAACAAATGGTGGAAGTTCAAGTGGCATATTATTAAATACAAATAAAGAAAAAGAAAAACCAGGAAGAAAAAGAGGACCTGTTTGGATTCATTTTAATGATATTGGAAGAAGGTCATATTGGTTGTATATGCATATATTGTGGCTGGACTCAAAACCGAGAAGAACCAGCCCAAATGCAAGCACATTTAGCTTTATCCTGTTCAAAAGTTCCTTTTACAATTAAAATAGAATATTTACTTTTTATTAAACAAAATGCTGAAGAACAAGTTACTAACTCTACTTCAACTGTCTCAAAAAAAAGATGTGTTAATTTATCTCAAACAAGAATAGATAAATTTTATGAATCTGACCAGATTGATAGTACCAAACAAGTATTATGTGATAAAGCTGTTGCAAAATTCTTTATTTATTATGGTGTGGCATTTCATTTAGTTTCTCATCCTTTTTTTATTGATATGGTTAAAAGTTTATGTAATGGATATGAGCCACCGTATTCTACTACTTTATCCAATACACTTATGAATAATGAACTTACTAAAATAACTGTTGATCAGCAACTTATGTTAGATAAAGAATCAGATTTAACATTAGGTAAAAAAATAAATTTTATTTTTAGATTTTTTAATTATTTAATAAATTTTGAATTTTTTAGGATTTGATGGCTGGACGAGCCCACGAGGTCAATCATTATATATTTTTATACTTATTATACGTGAACGAAAGGAAATTATATATAGTTTAAAAAATCTATCATCAGAATCTCATACAGCAAAATTTTTAGCTGAAAAAATTAATGAAGTAATTACAAATTTTGGGCCTGAAAAATTTTCTGCAGTTGTTTCTGATCATGCTGCTGCTTGTGCATCTGCTAAACGAATCATTGCTGATACACATAAACATATTATTCCAATTAGATGTATTGCGCATCACATTAATCTCATTACAACTGATATTTGTAAAACTTCATTTGCCAAAGAGGTTATTGCTAAGTGTACAAAGTTAGTAAAATTTTTTAAAACATCACATCAAGTTGGTGAAAAGCTTAAAATGAGTATAATTGATGATTCAGTTAAAGGTGGAAATCTCAAAACTTATGTCAAAACTAGATGGACAACAGCTTGGGATTGTACGAATTCTATTTTACGTCTTGAAAATCAGTTAAAAATGTAAGTTTATTAATTATTAATTATAAAATGAATTAAAACGTGAAATTTATTTTATTTTATTTTATTTATTAGTTATTAAATGAATGTCCGGAAATATTGAATAATGAAATTAAAAGTTTATTGCGAAGTAGATCATTTTTTAATGATGTTGATGCCGTTAATACTTTATTAGGCCCAGTCAAATCAGCAGTAAAGGCTCTTGAATTCAAATCAACTACGCTTGCTGATTGTTTTGTTGAATTAATCAAGTTATCACAAAGGATTAATTTCCTTCCACCAATATCAGATCAAAATTTTAAATCTACCTGTATTGAATTATTTAATAAAAGATGGAAACAATTCGATTTTGATCTTTATATTTTAAGTTATATACTTCATCCATACTACTGAGGTAAATTGTGAATTTTTTTTTTGAATTATTTATTTTTACACTAATCTTAATTAAATTATTATATTTATACTTTAGGTAAAGGTTTACATCCAATGGTCTTTCGTGATGTTTGTCTTAATGCAATGAAATTGCTAAAAAATATGGGTGGTGGTGAAAATTCTTGTAGCGAATTAGTTGCTCAAATTCGTGCATTTACACAATATGAAAAACCTTATGATTTAGAGTATGTATTAGGAATAGATAATGTTTTTTTATGGTGGCGATTATGCAATCCAGTACGTCCTGAAGAACATTATAGGACCCCGGATATCTCCAAAACAGGTCATAAGTCACACTTTCGGTTTAACAAAGCTGCGCTTGAATTTTATTAATTTTTGCCACAAGTTACTTTAGAGAATACCAGGTATTCAAAAAAGAACTGCAACAAAGTGCAGAACTAATCTATTACAAGAACAATAATCTTCCTAGAAAAATACATAAAAAGAAATGCAAGATTATAAACCCAACATCTTCTCTATATAAATAACTATGGCTACCCCCCCCGAATTATATCTCAAACCCTGTAGAATCGACTATGCTATACGTACCCAGCGAGACCCCTTGCTACATTTAAAGATCAAAGAATCCCATTGCCAAATACCATTAGCTCTATCAAAAATACACAAAATTCAATTTCCCCTATTTGACTACATACTATGAATAACAAACCTATTTCACAAAGACCTCTGGGAACTTTTTAGTGTCGTGCAGTCCAGCCGATGGGGAACTTTTTAGTGTCGTGCAATCCCCGAAG